CTTATTAAAGTCATAGCTCATTCTTATTTAAATCTTACCTGATTCTTATCGGATTCGTACGAAATTCTTGCCATTTTCGTGCGGACTTCTCATGTAAGAATCTGATAAGACTCGGATAAGATTCTTACCAGAAATAGCAAAAAATGTTTGTCTAGGGAGTATAAATATCCAGGGAATAGATATTCTGATTGAAAAAAAGATTTTCAAACGGGCTAAGATATTCTTCTTTCGATCACTTTTTCATGTTGATAGTGCATGTCTAGTTTGTTTTGCGAATTTTTTAGTGAATCCGCTGTTGGATTCACTAACAAATTTTGCAGCTGTCATCCAATTTTTATCCGAATTGGTTTGGCGCGAAGCGAGCATCAAGTTTTCTAATATAGCATAGTTTCGCCATTATTCTTGGCGCCAAAGAACGCACAAGTGTGTTAACAAGAAGCACTTCCGAAAATCGTTTTGGAAGAACAAAATTTGACTTTACATCGACAAATAAAATATTTTCTTTAACTATCTTGTTATGAACAGCAACATTTTGATGCGTCCAGCACACAAGTCTTATAATTTTTCATTCATGTTCATTTGTAAAATGAGAAAAGAAGAAGAATTTTTATCCTTTCTGTTTTTACAAAATAGAATAAGGTGGTATTGTGTTTCATTCTTCTAAAAGTATTTTAATTTGAAAAATCTATAACTTGACGCACTTTTGTTGTCATTCGGATGTTATAAGGATGAGAAAAAATAAAAAATAAACAGCATCCTTTTTTTACTATTACTGTTCCTATCTCGTTCCTCATATTTTACCATTCTTTGTTCTTAAAAAGATATGTGTACAACATGTCTATATAAAACCGCTACATCTTTCTGTCTGCATTTCATTTCATTTTTCCTTTATAATTGTATTATCATTATATTAAAGTAAGTGTAAGAAAGATATGAGTCATCCACATGGTCAATTAAACGTGGCAATTGTTGAAGGACGAAAACTAAAAGACGAAGATGCTATTGGAAAAAATGATGCTTACATTGAATTATATGTGAATAAAGATTATAGACAAAGAACATCGACTAGAAAAAATATGAATAATCCAATATGGAACGAAACATTTAGCTTGTAAATATATCATCTCTCTTTTTTGAACAGTTACACGATAATAGTCTATTCTAGTAATCTACTAAAACATTATGATAATTTACATTTACATGCTTACGATGATGATATTGTTGGCCAGGATTCTATTGGCTCTTGTAAAATCGATTTGAACAAACATGTCTTTGGCAAAGGTGTCTACGATGATTGGGTGAAACTACCTGCACATTTAGGTTTAGGAAGTCATGGAGAAATACACGTGATCATCCAACATATTGTACAGCCTTTCTAGTCTACACGTCTAGTCACTTATTTATCTATATATTATCTTTGTTGTCTGTTTTAGCCTTAACTATGAACAATTTAAACAAAACACATAATAAACTTTACACCACTTTTTCACATTTTAAATAAGTTATTTAGATATGCTATGACGCAGTCCTTTTCCATTTTATCGAATTTGTTCTAAAACAGTTGGTCTCATTAATTTTTCAGGGATGTTCCTTCTATTTTTTCACATACATTCTTTTATCGTGTAACATTTTGAAATAATTGGAATATCGTTAAAAACCATTTTCTTGTTGTTATATGCACGGGGAAATCACACTAAAGTTGAAAATCCTCTTAATTATTTTTTATTAAAGTTGTCTGTTGATGCTGTTTTTCTCAAAATGAAACATCAAGGAAAGCGATATACTGTATTGTTTCATCAAGTCTCAGCATAATAGCATGTTCAATAATTAATTATGTTATCATTTGATATTGTTTTGGATCACGTACTTGATAAAGATATCTCTCTACTGATAATATTTATGTTTCAGACATATTCAAGTATTAGGCTACCAAAAATCCACACTATCTTGGTTAAACAGAGCTGCCGAAAAGTCCATTCATCAGCATGGTGTATTTTGTTTATTTTACACTCAATATTACTGCCCTCTCGATGTCACAATTATTTGGTGTTAGATGAAAGTATACAAAAATACCCGTGGGTATTTTATGCGTACCTTATTCAGAAAAATGAATAGAAACAAACTAGACATGCACTGTCAACATGAAAAAGTGAACGAAAGAAGAATATCTTAACTCGTTTGAAAAAACATTTTTCAACTAGAATATCCGTTCCCTGATTATTCATCCTTTCAAGCAATTCTTTGATCTTAAATAAAATTTTCTAAAATATGTTTTTCATACGAACGCCTTGTCTGAAGCTTGTTCTAGGGGTAAACTTTTGATCATCAAATTTTTCAGCATGATCTCACATTTTTATTTCTCAACTAAGTATAATGTACAACACAAACATATTCATTGAAATATTAACCAAATGAACAGTATGTTCACAGTTTTGTTTATATCTATTTACAAATTTAAAGCTGTGCTAAATTTCTTGGGAGGTCCTTTTGCTTTTCGTTTGCCTAATGGTTGAATACATGTTTTATCGCTAACTTGATACAAGTTAAACAAAATTGCGAATCCAACAGAATGTTTATACGAACATACTTTTATGCCCATTGGATAGCTACATGATTCTAATGGTACAGCGCGCCAACGGGATTGTTGTCACACCAGAAAATGATTAAATGTATGCCACTGACGAGAACGGTAAATATCTGGCCAACGGTACATTCATTATTTTCTGGTGTGACAACAATCCGGCTGGCGTGTTGTACCATTAGAATCGTGTAGCTATCCAATGGGCATGAAAGTATATTCGAGAGTTAAAAGTCAGCGGAGTTGCCCAGCCCTGCATAGAACTAATTGGAAATCAGGAATACTCGCCATAGAATCGCATAAATTAAAGAGAGAGATAAAAGAGAGTTTGCTCATGGACATTCATACAAAAAAAGGGAGTAAGAACTATATATTCTCAAAAGACTTTTATGTTGAATGTTTTTTAAGATGAATCTTTTGCACATCAGTTGACTGATGATGTCTTTAGACTAAAGATGGAACGTCTCATTTTGAAATAGTTATTTCAGCATGGAAAGGTGATTTGATACACAGACATTACCGCGAAAACTTATCTATTGGAGAAGAAGAATAAATGAGCCTGATTTTGTATTTTGCATATCATCCTTTGAAAGCTGAGTGAAGTTATGTGGTGAATAGTCATTAGTTGATAGGTAATGTTGTGTCACGGAGTCTGCACTTCTATAAAAATCCTGATTATATACAAACCAATGCTTATAAACAGTGAGCTTCAGTTTATCGTGTATCGAAGAGAAAACCGGTCAAACGCGATAAGCAATTTGCAAATAATTACCTACTAATATTATATAAACTGTATGTCAACCATACAATACAAACCATATTGGGTTTATGCGAAACTGTATCACATAATGACTATTCACCACATAACTTCACTCAGCTTTCAAAACCTGATATACAAAATACAAAACCAGGCTTATTTATTCTTCTTTTTCGCATGTGAAAACTACCTGCATTTTATCAGCAAGGATTCGAGCCGGGAGACTGTGATATTCGGATCGGGCATGTCGAGAAACCTTTTTCATCTAAGTTTGAGCTTGAAGTCAGACAAAAGGTTCCTCTCGAAATTTTTGCGAACTACACTACCGCGAAGACTCGCGGTAGTGTGGTTCGCAGTTCATCGCGGTAATATCGTGTCACGTACCTAACCTATACATAAACATAATGTCAGGAAAGCAAGAAAGATGTAAACACTCATAAACATTGCCACCTTTTTATCCTTTTTTTCCCTATTTCTTTACGTTTATAGGTACTGCCTCAGTTTTGTTTTAAAAGATTTTGTTATAGACAAGGTAACTGCAGTGGTGGGAAGCGACTTCCAATCGCAAACTGTCCTATAGAAAAAAGATTATAAAACATTCAACAAATCATGTCTGCTATACAGAAATAGACGACCGGATCTTCTACTTTCATCAAGTGGTATAAGGTTGAAACAGAATAGAGGTGATAAGCCGTTAAGGACTTTAAAAACAGTTGGAAGTACTTTCGTCTCATGGAGAGTAAAGTTAACTTTAGGTTTTCCGTCTTTTCACAAGGGTAATCTAATCTAGTTAATATGCAGATTTCATAAATTTGTAGAGGAATCGAAGAAGGTGCATCTTTAATTTGTCTACACATAGCGTCAAGTCGCTTTCTGCAATTTAGTACAGCATCTTCAATATGTTCGCGCCATCTCAGATTAGAACTTACTTTAAGACCTAAAAGTATAAGAGAAAGTTCGCGTGTTATGGTTGTGCCATCACGCAATGTGAACTGAAAATTATTGACTCTATAAAGGAGATATGCGTATTGAGCTTCTAAGATATTCATAAGTTCATGGTGACTCCTAACCAAAGAGCCGATTTTGTCATCTTTACTTACTCAAAACTAAAACTCAAATAGTGCATTGTGTAGCCACAGATGAGCTCTACAAAACTGTGTATTCGGATTGGTAAAATAAGCGAGCTTTGGAGCTGGGAGGACCAAAATATAGAGTCGACTGTATGATCCATCCTTGTAATCAGGTATATACCCAGCAAAGCTACCCATAAGATCGTCTGAAAATTTCTAGTATAGCCCACTCGATTCAGTCTTTTACGCTGAATCTGAATATGATCTTATATTTAGACGTTGGTTAACAAGTGGTACGTAAAATAATGAAAACTGAACAAGAAAAAGGAAAAACGACCTTAAAACTGGACTTCAGATTTTAATGCGAGATCATTTTGGGTATGACGCGCCCCAGCAGAAGAACCTTCAGATAGTGAATTTTGTAGCTCTACCTTGTGCGCAATTTCTGGCAAACTTTGACGCTTGGTCTCCTATCCTGTAGGACACACGGCTCAAAATATTGAAAGACATCGACGTCGAAAAGTCGTAGAAATTGATGAAAAGTCGAATTTTTCCCCGCTAGTAATGGGCGGATGGAGGGGTTGGATATAGGGGCCTGTAGCCCAAGGCGAGATCTATAAAAGTGTATAGAGAGAATATGCCGTTTTGGTTTCTCTGGGGGGCAGTAAGTTCTGCATCGATCGCATTGGCTATCATGACCCTCGACCAGTACATTGATCCTAGATCCTATAAGCTTAGATAAACATGAGATTTCTTATATACCATTCGACGTGCCGCGAGCTATTCTACAAAACTGCATATTTGGTTTCTTGGTTCAAGAGAAGGCACCAGATCCGATAGGGTCCTTTGCAAATGTTCTGAAGTCAGACATTTTTCCACATGGGATATTCATTTTTTCGCTTGACTATATAAATTTTTAATGCTTTTCTTTCTCTTCTTGTCTGATGCTCTTTAAGCTCACATCAAATTAAAATTTATGAGATAATTAGTTGCTCAGCTCACAAAAGATCTTTGTAAAGTTTCAAAAATTGTACGTTAACAAAAACTTCATTTTGCGATTATTAGTCAAGACTTTCGATATGATTGATTTATTGAATATTTAAGTGATTTATGTGCATCAAACTTTGGTTTCCATAAGGTATTAAAACCAGATTGTGGTCCAAATTGAAAAGTATATCGTCCCTTTACTGATGTCATAATACCTGATTTATAATAAAGTCGAAGTGCTCGTGCCATTTTATCATATGTCATATTGTGAACGGTATTCCTACCTTTGACATTTCCCCATAGTGCCGCTATTTCGTGTGGTTTATGCAGCTTGAATATACCTTCATTTATGTTGATATACGATGCAAGATCTAAATAATGTGGTTTGTCCAATAGTAATCGAAAATATTCATGTAAATATGGTCGTCGTCTTTTATGTGACACACGATCTTCTATCATCCATTCAGCTGCCTTCTTTGGTTCCATTGTACGTACTACAGGAATCTCTTCTAAAGAAGAACGAGGTCTTGCTGGTGGTGGAAGAATATCATCAAGAAAATCTATGGGATACATTGACATTATAGAAGCGAAGTCATCTTTACCGACCACGTCTGAAACATCATCTACAGAGTCATCTTTAACAGGGTCAGTAGTAAATAATTCTGATGTGTTTATTATTTGTTGCTCAGGTTGATTTAACAGTGATAAATAATCGATCGGATTACTGGTTGAAAAAAATTGTGGTGTTTTTAATTCTTCTAAAGATTTTTCGTCATCGATGGCGAAAAAGTATTCTGGATAAGAATCCATAATGTTTGCTGTAGATCTACTGCAAATAATATCGATACTATCTATCAATGTTTGTTGAGGATAAATAATATATTATTAATAAATGCTAACTTTTTCAATTATGTATTGTAGATCAACGAACTGAATAATTATATGTGAAATTATTCCTAATGCTTTTATCAGTTTGCATGTACCGCGCGGATGATTGTCCAATACAATAGTGGATAAATTTTGATATGTTTTAAATAGGAAACTAATCTATGACATTTACAGGTTTCTTTTAGCAAATTTCTAATGAAAAAAATAAATATTTTTTTGTCATAAAAAAAGTAAGCATAAAAATCTAGGAGAAAGGAAACATATTTTAATATCTATTCGAACATATTTGTTTAAGAGTGAAAGAAAGTCGTGAATGACATCACACATGAATCAAATTTTCGTTGGTTTTTTCCAAATTTCATAAACGACTAATGCATGGTACATGGATGTTAAAACCAAGCAAAATTTTATATTACCTTTGGATAAAAATATCATTCTGGCACTGGAAGTGAAGAATGAACAAATTTCGCAGAAATTAATACTTAAACCATAGAGTTACGCATACGATTTTTACCATGTATTCAAATAAAAATAAGGTGATATCTAAATGAAATTATAATTTTGCTAGATGAGATAGAAATGTGAACTAAATTAGCGAGTGGTTCATTTCAGAGTCATTATTCTTTTTATTCAATTTATTAAATGTGGAAAAGATTGAGTTTTATCGTTAAATGCTGTTTTCCACATTATCTTAGGCGTGGATCGGTTTAAGTTAGACTTATAAACAAAGTGACTGGTGGTTGCTGTTTTGATTAAAATCGACTGTGTTGTTGGTTAGAATGTACCTTTTTTGATTAAATAATGTTTCAGAAACGATACATTTCTTCGTTTGCACGTTCAAAAACCTTCACTTTTGACTTTATGCAAGACCACCTATATACGATTTTTAGAATAATTTAGCGACTTCAAGAATTTCAATGAACACATCATGCCGAGCAATTAAACTGATTCTTATACACTAAGAAGAATGCAAATTCATCCCTGAAACTGAAAAATGATTAGTTTTCTCAAAAGACATTGATCTTTTTATGCAGTTGCCATATACGTTTTTCTGTTCAATACTATAAATAATATTGAACAGAAACAGGTATATGAACAAGCATTAAGATGTAGTTTTTATTGTGCTGTGTAAAGAAAAACATTTGAGGACATGAGAGTAAGGTTCACCATTCTGAAAGATTTAAACCTTCACTTGAATAGAGAATGCGACATTCCTTATGTATCATTCATTTGTTTTTCGCAAGTTATGTCATGCAGTGAAACGATTTTATATTTTTTCTCCGTTCTTCTATTTACTCATGTGATAAATACATCGAATGTCATAAGCAAGTTGGAAAAATATACTTGTTTTACGCCTGAAGGATAAAGCTGAAACTTCAGAAAACTAATAATGATCTTTGATTCTATACTTTACAAAAGTTTCGTGGTTGTCGTTCAAGAGATACTTTAACGATAATAGTACCCATGTCAAACTTTTTTAACGATTTCTGCAGAAATGTGCGTGTTTTGCCACTTTTCTGGCCACCCTGACGCAACACCAGAAAACGCATGGTTCTTATATGCGTTTTCTTGCGCTGCACTTGTACCCTGCAAAAATAAACAAGAAAATGTCGTTTATCGCAGAATCTTGTTTTTGCTTTATTTTTGACCATATTCTACGCACAGGTAGAGATGAATATTGTTTTTCTCTCTTTCTTTTTCTCGTATTTTGTAAACACAATAAAAGCCTGATTTATATACAGAATAGAACAAATTTTCGTTTCCTGATATCAATTACGTAATTTAACACAATGTAATGCTGAACTGTATTCTATACGAGATAGACGCATAAACAAGTTTATATGTACACTAACCTTTATTTCGTAGAATTGTTATAATAGTCAGTCCCATTTATAGTGACCTTTTAGAAACAAAACACATTTTATTAATACCAAAAATTTGAGTAAGATACAAATAAATAATATGTTAGAGTTATGTCTGGTTTAATGAGACCAAAAAATTATGTTTTGTTTTCTTGATTGTCAGTACAAAAACATAACAGTTGTTACACCGTTCACACAAACAAAGCTACAAAACTAAACTCACTGTTCTGTGTCTATATTCTGTGCAATGGTTGAAGTTATGCAATCGACTCGATGCAATCGAATCTAGTAAAGCATCATAACAATTCTTTTTTTTCAATACAAAAATTGTTTCAAACAAATTTATTTGATCTGATTGACCTTTCTTTGACGGAATGTACTTAATACCGAACATTTGCATAACTAAGGCATAAAATAACTTGGACTCGCCACACAATTGTAAAATGTTTACAACGATCAGAAAGAATCTAACTGAACCAAAACAAATTGC